CTCTTTTCATAGTTTAAAGTCATTACAATTTCGTTAATGTTTGTTCTTCTATTTTTATGATCGTAGATATTTTCAAAATATGTCAAGAAGAGGAAGTATTGTTGTTTTAGTGTACAATGATGGCAAAATGATTTGTGTTTTATCTCTCGAGATCGTCTTTTAGTCAGCACATACTGTGACGATAACGTTGTCGAAGAAATTAATATATAAAGAAGTTGATGAAAGAAATCAATAACAATGTTCCATATGGCTGCGGGAAAAACTTGAATCATTGAAGTATCAAATATCGATGTCGTTGGAACCATTAACCTACTCAATATACAATGTTGAGAACGATGATGATGTGGACATGATGCACAATTCCCACTTGAAATATTCATTAGGAGGGTTCCTTGAGCTATATGCAAATTTTTCTGATGATAATGATACTACCAATGTCCCAAAATGGAGACAGAAAAATTTTAATTTCGATCCTAATACTCATAGTCTGACAACTAATCTACGTAACGACTTCAACTTATTAAGTACACAAAGTAGACACAATGACTTGGGAGCATCATCGTCTTCGATGCCAAGGCATTCTTGTGTAGTTAGCTTCAACATTGACCTAAAGTTTCCACCAACACAACATTCAACGTACAATCCATATAGTATTGGTGTTGCTACGTCATCTTCTCATCAAGAGATGAGGTTGTAAGACCATGAAGTGTTTAACCCATTTAAATATGGGGAGACATTCTTGTGCTGGTGTTGTCGACTTTGATCTTGGTAATACGATTTGTGAACGGTCTCGTGATTGACACACAACTTCTACTCCTATTATCCTCGCATTCGATGATGTAGAACTATTCTAATTTGAAGGGGATATTTTTGAAAAAGAATCGGTAAGGGAGACCAGCCCCGATGATGACGAGGTAGACCCCTTCAATTAAGAACCAGAAGACCTTGACATGCCTGTGGGAGCAGATGATGATGATATTTCACATGTTGTGACTCATGTTTCTTATTACCAACCACTGTCCCACTTCACAATAGTTGAATTGGAAGCTTTCAACGCTCTGAATTTTCGTAATTCCCATAAATTGAGCAATACAACAAATGTGCTTATGGTGAGCTTTATATTGGAATGACATTCAGAATAAAAAAAAAACTCGTTGTGGCTACCATTAAGAACTATAATATACACCGTTTAATTACGCAGATTGAGAAAAAATAGACTCAGACAAGTACATGGTTGAATGTGTCCAAAACTACGAGGGATGTAATTGGAGGGTTCATGTATCACACTTGAAGAGGATGAACAACTTATGGAATCTAAAAAATATGATCAGCCTTATATATGCACTGTTAGAAGGCTCAATCAGGATCATCCTAACTTGGATTGCATGTGCTTTGTGATGCCTTCATGCCACTGGTGGTCAAAGCAAATTCGCGTATAAAAGTTTCTAGTTGAATTGCTGCAATTACATCTCAATACAGCTACACATATGACTACCATAAAGCATGGTATGTTAGGTATCAGGCTAAAAAAAATTGTATGACCAATGGGAGGAATCATACAAAAGAGTTGTGGCCATGGCTGAAATTGATGCAGAAAAAAATACCGGGAACGATTGTGAAACTAGAATTGTATCGGTGTATGAAAATAATCATATTGTACAAGATATGTGCCAATTCTATAAGTTATTTTGGATATATCCACAGCGCGTTAATGCATTCTACCACTGTAAGCTGATGGTTCAGATCGGTGACATTTGGTTGTACGATAGATACACACAAATACTATTATTGGTGGTTGCACAATATGACAATAAGAAAACTATTATCATAACCTTTGCAATAATTGAAAAGTAAAACATAGACTCTTGGGAATTCTTCCTTAAGAACTTACGCAGACATGTTCTTAAAAATATTTTGCGTGATAAAGTTGTTGGAATATGTCTTATTTCTGACAGAGGTACATGGATCAAATACACAATCTAATGTATGGGACCGTATTGAAACCTCCCTATATTTATCACCGGTATTTTTTATGCCACATTGCTGTAAATTATTTTCAAAAGTGTAGGACAAAGATGAAAATGTAATGGTGCTTCGAATGGGTACATCTTTCACTCTTTCAAGTTTAAGATATCTTTTTATTTATTATTTCTAATTAAATTTTGCATTATTAATGGATAGGCCACTCGTGTTTTGTATGTGAGGTTGAGGAATTACTTAAAAAATTGAGAGATAGGAATGAACAAGGCTATTTGATAAAATCTTGAGGAAGAAATGACTTCAATTTTTTAATGGGGGTAGACAATATGATCACATGACAACGAACTTGGCTAAGGTGATCAATTTATCACTGAATGGAGTAAGACATTTGCCTATCACTTATGTTGCTGTTGAGTCAATCAAAAGGATGAAAGAGGCAAGAGGGGTTGAATTGACAAATAAAAATTTTGGTGGAAGCTTAAGGGAAGAATGAAAATTTGAACACATGAATTTTATAGTAGTTCGACTTTCTAAACCAAAGTCTACATCCATTACTTTATCTATCCACACTACGAATTTTCACAATTTCACTAATTTGTATCAACCTTTGAGGACAAGGTGTAACCTTACAACTCCCTCAATAATTATGCACCAAATTCTTGAGAGACTATCCTAAAGAGAAAATTACAAATTGTAAACTTAAAAAACCTCACTAGGAATGCGTTTGCACAATTCAATAATAAATAATAACACTTAATGAATAAAAACAAATGAGTACAAAAGTGTTCTTTTAAAGCAAAATAATATTGAAGAATGTTGACTTTGATTTTTGCTCAATGTGATTGCTCTGGATTTCTCTATATTGTCTTCATATATGACTTGAAATCTTGTTTTAATACCTCTTCATTCAATTCTACATGTTTGGGTTGTTATGGGAGTTAATAGAACTGTTGGGATGAAATTTCCTGCAATAAATGCTATCCAGACGCCTTAAGTATTTGTACTCGACATTGGAGTATTAGTACTGCTTGAATTAAATACAAAAATCTATCTGTTAGTGAGAGGTGAGTACGATACTCCACTTAGAGTATCGGTACCAAAACAACCTACTTGAATTTGCATTTGTCAAAATCCTAGAGGGAGTATCAGTATTCTGATTGAGTGTATCGATACTCCCATCGAGAGTATTGGTACAGTGTAATTTTAGGCCATTAGTATCGGTACCATATATATGATCAATATCGATATTGTTCTTGTAGTATCAGTACTATAAGGTTAAAAATTGATTTTTGACTCGATTAAAATTTGAAACCCTTTGTAAAAATATTTAAAAATTATTTCCAGTGTTTGACTTGAATTTTCAAAAGATTAAGGAGTAAAAATGGAGTTTTTAACCTTAAAAAGAATTTCCATATTCAAACGATTAAATTGAATATAAACTTGAAAATTGAATCGAAAATAATCTTAAAATTTCTTTAAAAATATATATTTTTGGTATATCAAAATCTCAAAGCATGGTTCAATAGTTGTCAAAGTGACATATTATCAGTTGGCAACCATGTTTGTAACATTGGGAAAACAAGCACTTGACTATATGGCAGGTGGCCACACAGTCCACCCACACAAAATTGCAAACCTTTGTGCAACGTTCAAATGTAATGGATGTGACATGCGTCTTTCGCTAACAAAATAAATTCTGTGTTTCAGAATATTCGAGACCATTTGAAGACATGCAACACAACGCATACGTGATTAATCTACGAGAAAGAACATGCGACTGCGGAGTATTCCAAACATTCAAATACCGTGTGCGCATGCCATTACTGCTTGTTCTTTTGTACAGATTCACTACATGCAATTCGTTGATCTGATATGTTTACTTGAAATTGTATTCAATGTTTATCAATATGAGTTTCCTCCCATTGGAAATGAAAAGGATCCAGATGAAGTTGATGATGAACCTACAATATGGCCAGATTTTGCACTACGACCAGATTTTGCACTACGACGTAAAAAAATGGTCGTCCACAACCAACAAGGATTTATTGTGATGATGATTTGGTTGAACATCAAGAAAGAACTTGACAACCGAAACTATGTACTATCTGTAGGAATCCCGAACACATGTCCTAATCGATCACACCCTCGTATCGATTTATTTTGCTTTTTAATTATACTACTTGAAATGGGAAATTAAGTAATATTTTAAAAACTTTATTATAATGTTTCGTATGTGCTGATATTAGCCACAATTAAAACATAAGTACAAATACTACGCCTATACTCTTATAAATTAATCAAATTTTCATATTAGCTTCCAGAAAATAATCCCCGGTCATGCCTATCAAAACATGTTAGCTTCTTCTTCATGTAGAAAACCAAACTTTGGAACCATTTTGAATGCGCTTTTTACCCCGCTTACAATGTTTTATATGTGCCGATATTACCATCAATTAAAAGATAAATATCAATATTACGCATCTAATCTTATAAATTACGAAAATTTTCAGATTAACTATATGAAAATACCCCTCGAAAATGCCTATAAACACTTCCTGTGTGGACTGGAAATCTATATACAATACTACACGCGATAAATTGCTGAAATGATTCATTATCTCGTGTACCTAGCGTTTGGTATAACGCAGATTGTTTAACCTAATATTAAATTATATTATCTAAAAAATGTTTTGACGTTGGAGAAATCTCGTGCTTATAGAACACAAGGGTGTTACATGCATTTTGTAAGACGCGAGATAGTCATTCATATACAATTTGAAAATATTTTTCTAATGAATGCTAAATGAATTTTTGGGATTTTTTTAAAAATAAAAATGCCCTTTAATTCAGTATGATCATTCCTTAGGTGTCGGTCACATATGACTACTATATTTATAAATAATTTTAGAAGTAAAATATTTTAGTAAATAGCTGGGGAAAAAAACAGTATATTTGAGGAACAAAGTCCATTTGTATATATATAATTGGACTTTTTGTTAGTTGAGATGTAATTGTTGTCTTCCTTAGATCGCCGGCCGAAAATTTGTCCCATACTCTTTACCGAATCTGCTGAATCTCATCTGCTTCAATGATTCCATTTCTGTTTTATAAGCAGAATCGCCTCCCTCTCACCTCCATTCCCTCTCTTCCTCTTCCATGGATTCTCCGCTTCCCGCCATTTTTCTCCTCATTTTCTCTCTCTTCTCCGCGGCTTATTCCTCCACTCTCGGCGTCCAATACATTTCCGAACTTCTCCAAATCCAAGACCGCGAGAGAGCTCCTCCTTCCCTCCAGGTTGCGGCGGCTCGTGCCGTTCTCCATCGCCTGATTCATTCTCACTCTTCCGCCTTTGAATTCCGAATCATTTCTAAGGTTCTTTTAATTTCTGTCTTTTCGTTTCCTCTATATTTGGCCGCGTATACTGTGAATTGAAGGGTTAAACTGTCTCTCTCTTTTGTAGGAGAAATGTGGTGGTGAAGGAGCTTGTTTCGTTATCAACAACCATCCTTCTTCTTATAAATACGGAGCTCCAGAGATTATGTTAGTAAATATTTAATTTGTTTCACTACTTCTTGAATGTATATATGTCGAATTGCATGCAACATCTTTGTTATTATAAACTTATATTCGCTGAATTGAGACGTTCCCTTTATATGGAATAACTTTGACTACTAGCTGAGGATTACATTGCTTAGCGTTTTTGTTTTCACATCGTAATGCAGTCCTTTACTATATAGTCTTTAGAACTTAACCTATTACTAAAGTTTAACAAAATTCAATTCTACTCAGATTTTTAAAATTTCAAGTTATTCAATCAATTCGAATTTCTAATTTTTATTTTGAGTTTGAAATTTTAAAATTTGAATAATTGAGAAGCCAAAAATTAAAATGATGTTATTTTAGTTTTTAGTTAATTAATTTGATAATTTTACAATTTAGTCTCTAATTTTATTGTTTCTCTCATTCATTTTAATTCCATTCTTTACCAAATTTAAACCACATCCTCTTCAATTAATGTAGAATACCTATGTAGCTTCAATTCCTTTTTTCCGAAAACTAATTTCTTCTTTTTTGTAATTTAGTCCTTCTACTATGTATAATTTCATTGTTTCTTCACTTCCTCTTTGTCTTAAGTCTATTTTTTTTTTATCAAATTTGAACATGTTCTTATGTCTTTAGAATACTTATGTAATTTCAATACTCTTTTTGACAAAAAAAATCTTATTTTTTCCAATTTAATCCTTAAAATTTGCATTTTTATTTAATTTGGTCCCTCAATTGCAACTCTTTGTAAATTCTTTCTTCTCACCAATTCCTTGTCTCCTTTATGCTCTCTTTGGTAATTCTCCTCAAAATCCATTTTTTCTTTAAAAAATAACATTATAAATTTATTGTATAATTTTAAATGATGTTTGATTTATTAAATAACATTACAAATCTTACTTATACAAGCGAAAAAGAATTTGAAGAAATACATGCACATCGTATATATTTTGAGAGAACTGTTTAAATTGGAACCAATCAATAGCATAATATTATAAATAATTACATTTAAATTTGAATATAAACTTGAACAAATATATTTGATTCGACTCTACTAAAAAAATTCAAATAAAGTTTGAATGATAAATGTACCACCGTAAACTCGACTAACTCAAACTTTGTCCGCTCGACTCAATTGAATACTCACTCCTACGGGCCTACCTACTACATATCAATTCCAATACTTCAATTTTTAGCTCAACATGTGAGCTTATCCGGGATTTTTCAGAGAATTGTAAATTTACAAGTCTGGGATTGTAGAATTTATAGGCAATAAATACTTCCTCTACAATTTTTGGCCCATAACTGAAATATGTTTCGGCTCATGGTATTACATGAAACTGCTGTCTACTGGCATGTCTATGTGCAATATATAGAATGATAATTACATTTTTTTGCTGACTGGTGCAGAATCAGTGGTGTCACTGGGGTGGAAGTTTTGGCTGGTCTACACTGGTACTTAAAGTATTGGTGTGGTTCACACATATCCTGGAAAAAAACTGGTGGTGCACAACTATTCTCAATACCTCAGTCAGGCTCTCTCCCTCGTGTTCAAGATAGTGGAATCTTGGTGCAGAGACCTATTCCATGGAATTACTACCAAAATGCTGTTACATCAAGCTGTGAGCTTCTGTTCTGACCGTCCCTTTTATTCCTAATGAGTGATTAATGCCTTCATAAGTATTTCGAAATTTTGTTTGATGAAAATTATATGCACTTCATTTGTTTTCTTTTGGAAGATACTTTTGCTTGGTGGGATTGGGAAAGATGGGAACAGGAAATTGATTGGATGGCTCTCCAAGGTATCAACTTGCCGTTAGCATTTACTGGGCAAGAAACCATCTGGAGAAAAGTTTTCCAGGTAATTTCCTCATATAAAGTTTCTAAATTTTACTAACTTAGCAAACTTTTTTCATTTTGCCTGTCTTTTCACATTTTCTTGCTCGCAGAGAAGAGCTAGTTACATGCACAACCCTCCACCCAGCGACAACTCTTTCTGAAATTCAAGTTGAACCTTATTTTATATATTCTGGGACATAACACCAGGCTTTTAAAGTTTGTAACAAGTACTAATACTATAGCTAGTGGCTAGATTGTGAATTCTAAATGTCCTGTGCATATTGATATAGTCGCGGTATCAATTATAAAAGCTAAAACGAAGTCCTGTTATATTATATTAGTCACAGATTGCTTATTCCTGCTCAATATGCATTAATACTGATTGAAAGATGCATAATCAGTGTACTAGTAACAACCAGAGCTATTTTACTTTCAAAATTTCATTAACAAAATTGGAGTTAGCCTCATTGGCTAGTTAGTTTACTTTGGGAATTCTTTTCAAAGCCGTGAATAATGTTCGTAAGTTGGGTTTTTTAGATTTCAGTATTTCTTATCTACATTTTTTCTAAAGCAGAAATTCAATATAACCAATTCCGATTTGGATGACTTCTTTGGGGGCCCTGCATTTCTTGCTTGGTCACGTATGGGGAATTTGCACGGGTAAGTAGTTTGGAAAATGTTTAGAACTCTCTTGGAATATAGACTGATTAATTTGGTTTCAGCCAACATGGTAACTCTAATGTCAAGGCCTTTTAAGAACATGCTAATAGGAAGTGTCTTTACCTTCCTTTCAGAGTACGATTCTTTACTTCCCTTTGCATTGATGATTAGAATAAACCATGTGATACGTTAGGTGGAATGTTCTTCTAATGGGCTGTTCTAATAATCCCAGATATAGACATTTCTTTCCTTAAAAAACGGATATAGAGAATTTGGGTTGTAATAATGGTGTTGTAATTTTGAATATAATAAGTGGTACTTCAATGTCAGATGGGGTGGACCACTTCCAGAAAGTTGGTTTGATGGACAATTAACTTTGCAAAAGAAAATTCTTGCCAGAATGTATGAACTTGGAATGACTCCAGGTACCAATTGCTATAGCCATCCATTTCTTTCTTTTCTTTTCTTTTTCTGGAAGGAAAAATGGTTACTTTTCATTATTGTTAATTTTTCTTTGATGAATCAAATTCTTTTGAAATCTCAATTTCTGCTGCTCTAGAATGCTTGAAAACTAAAACTTCTCTTAAGAACTCTCTTTTTTCCCTAAAAAATTGTGATTATCTTGGAATGAACGAAGAAGTCTTGATTATTTTTTGTGAACTGTTTCATGGAAAAATAGCCACTCCTTGGATATTTAAAATTACTATATATTTTAGATTTTTTCTATGTATATTCTATTGAAAATCTATTTTCGCCTCCACCCCAAATTTTGCCCTCTAACATAAAATCTTGCGTCCATACCTGGATGTGCTCCCTTCTATCAAGTAGGCATCCTTCCTTGGTTTCATCTGAATGAGGTCAAGCATTAAAAAAGATCAAGTGCAGTATCAAATAAAAATAATTGATGGATACACAAAATTATTGCAAGTTCTTGGTAAAAAATTATGGAAAGCTTGGTTCTAATTGCTGATTTGGAGTAAACTTGTAAGCAAGAAGAATGGGTTTTTTCCCTTCTTGATTTAACAGTTTCAAAGTTTGCGAATATACTCTGCAGTCCTTCCAGCTTTTTCTGGCAATGTTCCTGCAGCATTAAAAGATATATTCCCTTCAGCAAAGATAGCACAGTTGGGTAATTGGTAAGTTACATAGCATTGTGAATTGGACAAATGGATTTTTTATGTCTCGAAAGTATATTTTTGAATTGTCAAATTGTTCATATTTTCTCCACATGCATCTTGGCAATAATATTTGTTTTGAAGTGTTTCAGCTTTCTATTTCATCCAACTGAACTTAGTAGTTGAAATATAGGCTTCTTGTCCAAGGTTGAGAATTTTCTACAAAATTTAAACAAAGGATTGGAACCTCAATAATTCATCTGAAATCTTCAGGTTTTCTGTTAAAAATAACCCTAAATGGTGTTGCACTTATCTACTTGATGCAACTGATCCCTTGTTCGTAGAGATTGGGAGAACCTTCATTGAGGAACAACTAAAAGGTGTGTTCCTTCAATTCCTTGGTCCTTTATGTTCATAAGCTGCTCTTTCTCTCTCTGTCTATCTCTCATGCACTTAGAAGTTATTAAATGTTTCTTTCCTTTCTACTTACAATTTATGCAATTCATTTTAACCTTTTTAATGTTTGGTCTTACATCTTTGGTCAGAATATGGAAGAACAAGCCACATCTACAACTGGTAAGATTTTAATTTTAGAGATCCATATTGTTGGATTGTAATCATTTTTGATATAGTGGTAATTTCAATTTGTGAAAATCACTAAATTACTCCTTGGTACCCTTTACTTTGGCTTTGATCCTGTTCTGGAAGGCATGATTTACTAATTTACAGTAGATTATGAAGAGAAATTTTTTTATATAGAAAGATGGCCTCGTTAAAAAACCCCATCATAACCTCCGATCTACATAGGTAGATCAGTGGACATGAAAAGAGTGCCAATAATTTTATTACTAAAAAACCAGATACAACAGCAGTACATTATGTAAAGAACTAGATTTTTCCGGTAGTGAAAGAATTAAAATTTTTTTATTCAAAGGAAAATTGCTTCTTACACAAGAGGGTACATAGGCTTTTTATACACATGAATTAGAGACCTAGATAAAATTGGAGTTATCTTTTCTACAAATTAAGTAGTTTTATAGATAAATTAGGATGAAGAGTTTAACTTAAACACTACTTACACTCCCCCTCAAGCTGGGAAGTAAATATTGTGAAGACCTAGCTTGGATGTAATTTCGTCAAAGGAAATCCTTGGAAGTGCCTTGGTCAATACATCGGCTAGTTGGTTTTGTGAAGAGACATAGTTTAGTTTCACAGTTCCACCATTTACTTTTTCTGCAATAAAGTGTATGTCGATCTCCACATGTTTTGTTCTATCGTAGTGCATCGGATTCTTTGCAATGCTTATCGCAGATTTGTTGTCACGTAGAAGTTCAAAATAGTTGTTATCGCACATCTCTAGTTCGGTTAAGAGTCTTTGTAGCCAAATTCCTTCACACATCCCGAGTGCTATCGCCCTATATACTGCTTCTGCATTGCTCCTGGAGACTACTGATTGTTTCTTGCTCCTCCATGTTACTAGGTTTCCCCATACAAATGATCAATATCCTGTGGTTGACCTTCTATATATTAATTCTCCAGCCCAGCTTAAATCTGAGAAGATTTTAATTGTTTTGTCTTCATGTTTTCTGAAAATCAATCCATGTCATAGTGTCATCTTTAGATATCTTAAGATTCGATTGACTGCCTCCAGATGCTCTTCTTTCGGATCATTCATCTATTGACTCACAATGCTAACAAGAAAAACATTGTCAGGTCTAGTTAGAAATAGATAAATGAGTTTACCCACTAACCTCTGATAATGTTCCTTATTTATCGGGTTTCCATCTTTACTCAATTTTAAGTTAACTTCCATAGGAGTTTCTGAGGGTTTCCAATTAGTCATTTCAATTTCAGAAAGTAAGTCTAGAATATACTTTCTTTGATTTATGACAATTCCTTCTCGTGATCTCGTTACCTCCATGCCTAGGAAATATCTTAGAGTTCCCAAATCTTTGGTTTCAAATTCCTTATCTAGTAAAGTCTTCAACTTTTCGATTTCAACTAAGTCATCACCCGTGATGATGATATCATCAACGTAGACAATCAATATTAACTTCTTCTTATCAGAAGCCGTTTTTACAAACAGTGTGTGATCGGATTGACACTGTTTGTAGTTGTCTTGTAATATTACTTTCATGAATCTATCAAACCAAGCTCGAGGTGCTTGTTTTAGAGCATATAAGGATTTCAGTAATTTACATACCCGGTTATTTCCAGAATGAATTCCTGGTAGAACTTTCATATAGACCTCTTCTTCAAGATTGCCATTGAGAAATGCATTTTTCACGTCTAGTTGGTGAAGTATCTAATCCTTGTTTGCCGCTAAGGATAATAAAACTCGAACAGTGTTGAGTTTTGCAACTGGAGCAAAGGTCTCCTGATAGTCAACTCCATAAGTCTGAGTGAACCCTTTTGCCACAAGTCTAGCCTTATATCTCTCAATTTTTCCATCTACCTTGAATTTCACATTAAAGACCCATTTGCAGCCGACTGGTTTCTTGTGTTTAGCTAGATCAACGATGACCCAGTTTTTGTTGTTTTCTAAAGCTGAAATTTCTTCTTCAACTGTCTTCTTTCACTCATGACTTTTTAATGCCTTCTCTATAGTTTCTGGAATGTGAATATGATCAATCTGAGCTGTGAAAGTCTTAAGACCAGACATTAGTTTCCCATAAGCAACAAATTTACTAATAAGATGACTTGTACATCATCTAACTCCCTTTATTTGAGCAATTGGTAACTCACTAGTATCAATTACCACATTCAACTTACTTTGGTCACCATCTCCTTCGTCTGTCAATGGATTTAAACCCGGTTCTGGCTCTTGACAATGCATTGGCTGCGATGTGGAAGGTAGGGCTTGTTTGGGTCGTATTTTGTAGATGAGAATATCGGTAGATGGTCTGGGTGTTTTATGAGAGTCGATGGGATTAGTGGATTGGTTTTCATTATCAGATGTGGTGGTGTTAAGAGGTTGTGGAGTGGTAGTTTTTTCAGTAGAAGATGGACTGATGGGTAACTCAGTAATAATCGGTAAAAGTTGAAATTTAGACTCACTCTCCCTCCTGGATTTCGGCTTTTGAGAAGAATGATTTATGCTCTTGAAAAGTGACATTCATAGATGTGAAGAATCGTTTTGTAGAAGGAGAGTTGCAATAATAATCTTTCTGATGGGATGAATAACCAACAAAGACACACTAAATTGCCCGAGGATCAAGTTTAGATTTATGAGGATTATGGTCATGGACAAAGGCAGTACAACCAAAGACACGAAGAGGAACATAAGAGGTAAAAGGTTTGAAATGAGGGAATTTAGTGGAAAGGATATCCCGTGGACACTTAAATGCAAGAATTTTACTAGGCAAATGATTGATTAGAAAAGTAGTTGTTAAAAGAGCCTCACCCTAAAGGTATTTCAAAACATTAGAAGAAAAAAGGAGTGCTCGGGTTACCTCGAGAAGATGACGATTTTTACATTCTGCGACCACATTTTTTTGTGGAGTGTCGACACAGGAAGTGAGGTGGACTATTCCGTTTTCCTGTTGTTGTGGTGTGTCGACACAAGAAGTGAGGTGGACTATTCAGTTTTCCTGGAAGAAAGATCCCAATGACTGAGAGAGGTATTCCCCACCATTATCAAACTTTCGGATGCCAATGGAACTTTGGATTTGTGTTTCAACCATTTTGTGGAATCGTTTGAAGATGATACAAGACTCAAATTTGTCCTTCATAAGGAAGGTCCAAGTGGTACGAGAGTGGTCATCAATAAAAGTAATAAACCAACAAATTCCATATAAACCCGTAACCCGTGAAGGTCCCCAAATGTCACTATGAATTAAGGAAAAAGGTTTAGGTGAGCGGGAGGGAGAAGGAGGATAAGAGCTCCGAATGTGTTTTGCAAGAGAACAAATGTCACAAGAAAATGATGCGGGGTTTTTATTAATGAATAATTTGGGAAACAATTTTGCAAGATAAGGAAAACTTGGGTGACCTAACCTAAAATGCCATAACACAATGTCAGCAGCCGCATCTGTAGGAGAAACTGAAACAAAGGAAGAGATAAATGGTGCGAGTGAATGGTTTGAAATGAGAGCATAAGGAGGAGCGTCAAGGATGTAGAGTCCACCACGACGCCTAGCATTGCCAATCACCATACCCGAGGTCAAATCCTGAAATTCACAATGATCATGAGTAAAAATGAAAAGTACGACCCAAATCAGTAGATAATTTGCTAATCGAAAGAAGATTGCAAGTCAAACTTGGAACAAATAGAACATTAGACAGAATAATGCGGCTATTAATGCGAACCGAGCCACTGCCCTTAACTGGTGATAGGGAGCCATCAGCAATACGAACACTGCATGAGATACCATTTTTGTGAAATATTGAAAATAAACTGAAGTTACCCTCATATGATCACTTGCTCCGGAATCAACAATCCAAGAGACACATCCGGGTGAAGGGGATAAGGAGGCAAAAGGAGAACTACCTTCGCTAACAGTGCATGCAGATTTGGGCTCAATAGCAGGAGGAATCTATAAATGACCAAACATCTTCCCTAGATTGTCCAGCTGTTGATGAGAAAAGGAACCACCTTCCAATGTTGTTACAGCAGAGTTACCGTAGGATGGACGCGAGAATGATTTCGATGGAGTCCAGTTGACCGGACAACCATGTAGTTTCCAGTATTTATCATGAACATGACCAGGTTTTCGGCAGTGATCGCACCAGGGACGGCCTTTCTTGACACGAGTGTCACCGAAAAAATGAGTATTCAAGGCAGAACTTCCAACGGATGGTGGATGCATCAGAGAGCGGCAGCTTTCTTCACGATGAACTTCAGAGAACACCTCGCGAAGAGATAGAAGAGGCCTGATGCCTAAAATCCAGCCACGGACATCATCAAGAGAGATAGACAGCCCTGACAGAAATTGAAAAATACATCGTTTTCCAAGCAGCCTTTGTAGAGTTTGGCATCTGCACCGGTTTGCCAAGCAGGAGTTTCGAACAAATCAATTTGCTGCCATAAACGAGATAGTTGAGTAAAGTATTTTGTAATAGTAGGATTGCCCTGCTTCAAGTTATTGATCTCGCATTCAATGGAAAACATGGCAAACGAGTTTTCCAGATTGGAGTATGTTTCCTTGGCGACGTTCCAGATTTCTGAGGAGGCGGTGGTGTAGAGCATGAAGTTCCCGCTAATGTCAGGCAACATAGAGTTGAGGAGCCACGACATGATTGTGGTGTTCTCGGTGAGCCAAGTGTCGTATTGGGGATCGTAGGGATCGGGGATCGGCATATTATCAGAGAAATATTGTTGTTTTTGGCGACTGGTGATGAACAGACGCACGGATTGAGACCATGCAATGTAATTCTCACCATTGAGACGATGACAAGTAATGGACGAGGAAACCGAGTCGGAAGGAGACGACTGGATAATGGAGTTTTCAGCCTCGGATGGAAGATTCGGTGAAGAAGGATATGCCATAACTGTCGAGAAGAGGAATTGAAGGCTGTGTTAAGGGGGGACCGGGTTGGCTGAAAAGTGACCAAACAGCAGAACGGGAAGGGCTACTACTGTGATGAGGGTAGCACTGGACCAGCAGCGCGATGAGAGCAGTACGATGAGGAGAGCAGCGGCGTGACAGAAGCGGCACTGTGAGGAGAGAAGTACTGAGAGGAGAGCAGTACTGGGAGAAGAGCAGCGTTGTGGTTGCGCAGCAAGGAGACAATTCCGCGACGAGGTTGTGCTGGGATGCGAGGAAAATAGCGCTGCGATGAGGACGGTGCTGCGAAGGGTGCGGCGATTCGATGGAGCAACTCTGCGGAGGTGCAGCAAGGGGACGACACTTGTGAAGGAAAACGGCGCTGCGAGGGATTTGGTGATGTGATGGGTACAGCGGTGTGATCGGATATTTACGATTGGGAGGACGGCAGTGTGCTGATAGCATCCTACTGATCGAAGGGATGACAAATGGCGGCGGCAGCAAGGCTGGGATCGACGCCGGCGAATGATACCATGTAAAGAACTAGATTTTTCCAATAGTGAAAGAATTAAAATTCTTTTATTCAAAGGAAAATTGCTTCTTACACAAGAGGGTACATAAGCTTTTATACACATGAATTAGAGACCTAGATAAAATAGGAGTCATCTTTTGTACAAATTAAGGAGTAGTTTTAGAGATAAATTAGGATGAAGAGTTTAACTTAAACACTACTTACACATTAGACCAATTACAATCAGACTCCTACCACCAAACAACAAAACCCAATACAAACTACCAACCAATCCCTACATATTACCCCTCGTCAGGCCTATCCAATTCCCAACTTGGCAAACTCATCTGCCTTGTAATTGGCACCTCTCTTAATATGCCTAATGACCACACCCCTATTTATATGCCTAATGACCACACCCCTATTTCTCACTATATTAGCAATGTCATTCACCACAGCTTTAAACAAAGGAGTACAAGAAGCTGGATTTTTACTCCATTCTAGAGTCACTAGACAATCAGATTCTAAAATTAGCCTTCCCCTAGAAGCCCACTCCGAGTCCAAAAATCTGATTATTGAATTTAGTAGATTACAGTAGTTTAAATAAACTGAGTTGCTGACTTCTAATAGGACTTTTAAGCTAAAGATAAAATTCTATCAAGAGATAGAGACAACAAAGACTCCTAAGATTTATCCTTTCTAACAGTTAATATATTTACAACCTTTGTTTTATTAGAAAATTACTTCTAAAAGACAAAGCAGAACCAATGCTTATGGAAGTGTTTGATGCATTTAATGCTGTTGTCTTTAAATCTGTTCAAGTCAATGGGCTCTAATAAATTAGGCTGCAGAAAGCAGTTTATGATGCCATTTTGGTTCCATTTTAATCCTCTTTGATTTAACATGTGAATTTCACTAGCATGTTATGGCTTAAAAATCTCGAATGGTCATTATTATGCTTTTGTTAGCTCAATGGGCCAATTTTCTGTCAGTCTTGTTTTTCACTTATTCAATTGTTTCTTCATCTCAACCTCTCTGGACTTAGCCTGATTCTGTGCAGTAGGATTAAGATTTAAGAACACAATGACACTTATAAAAACATTCATTCAATGTTTACATGTTGTCATCTTGTCTGTAGAAGCGGTGTTCATTTGCCGCTTTTGATTTGAACTACTAATCCATATATCAATCTTTTTATCACCTTATTTCTACATTATTTTGATATGTTCCTAACCGTGTAGTGACACATTTGATGAGAATACCCCTCCGTTGGATGATCCAGGGTACATCTCCTCATTAGGTGCAGCAATCTTTAGTGGGATGCAGAGTGGTGATGAAAATGCCATGTGGCTAATGCAGGTCAAAAGATAAAAATCCCAATCACTTCACTTTAGAAACTGAAGAACCTTCTTTTATTTGTGACAGTCAAAGGAGACCCAATCTGTCCATCTTTTCCCTGTTAATTTTTTTATGGTCAGGATGCAAATGCACTATATCATTGCATTCCTGACCACCATAGAGTTTAGTATCTTTTGTCCTTATTTTCTAACTGATCAAACTTTGTACCATAGGGATGGCTGTTTTCATATGATCTGTTCTGGAGGCCTCCACAAATGAAGGTTATATCTATAGTTTTTCTTTTTAATTGTCTACTAGTCACTGCCTTTCCAATCTCTAAATACATCAGCTCTTTGTCTTCTATGTCAATCTGGTTTTAGTATTTTATTCCGATCATCTACACCTTGAATCAAAAGTTGATAAGTTTCATTTTTAATTGCTATAACTGAAGGTTAAAGCATGGTAGGAAGCATTATTACTTATTAGTATGAAGAGAAACAGGTGGAGGGGGATAGCCCTAAATTGTGTGGTCCTTTATTTTTTTTATGTTTCAGTCATATATGCGGCAACCAAGTGAATAATTCGAACTTATCTCTAGCCCTAATATATATTCTTAAAGCCAAATACCATAGTATTTAGTCACCCTTCGGAGAAGAAACTTCACAGTTCACTGCTAGGTACATTGTGTCAATGAAGTTTTATTTCCTGCTATCAGCCAAATAGAAACTAATTCTGAACTTCTTCAATCCCAAAACAACATTCATTATTTTCCTTTCAGGTTAGAAGATTTAAGTAATTAGCTTTCCTTGACTCTCAATGATACTGTGGCATTACTTTCCAGAATTTGAGTTCATATGTAAATCTTGTTTTCTAGTATGAAATTGGAAAATTCATGTACCTGTTTGTGTATTCTAATATAATCATATTTGTGCTTACATGCTCAGAAGAGCATGTTAAGATTATTATGCATTCTGACATTTTCTTTTGAAGATGACGAAAATGAGAAGACATATATCTTGTTCATTGACTGGTAGTAATTATGCTTTTCTCAGGCACTTCTACACTCTGTTCCCTTGGGGAAGTTGGTCGTCCTTGATTTGTTTGCTGAAGTGAAACCCATCTGGATTTCTTCAGAGCAGTTTTATGGTGTTCCTTACATCTGGAAAGTTATCGTTGCATTGTTTCTTTCTCTGTTTTTTATTTCATTTGTATAAGAAAACTAACATGTTGATTTAATCATGTGTCCGCAAGTTTCTATCAATAATTTTGATCCTCATAAAGGAAACGTATCCTAACCTGATGCCTTTGTGTTAAGTAACTCCTAGGTAATATTACTTCTACAGTATACCTCAGACCTCCCACCCCACAAACAAAATATATATTGAACATTGGAAAAACAGCATCCAATGGACATACAGAATTAAATTTTCAAGACTGAAAACAATGGTTTTGTTCTGTTACCAACTTGAAGGCAAAGAAATGGAAGTATGGAACTTGTTCTCTTCTGTGTCTCATCTGGTCCGTTGGCATCCTACTTTACAGGTGCATGCTACACAACTTTGCAGGGAATGTTGAGATGTATGGAATTTTGGATGCAATTGCTTCTGGCCCTATCGAAGCTCTTAAAAGTGAAAACACAACAATGGTAAGTTGTATTACATATTTCTAGTTCCAAAATACCACCAAACAGTTGTGGATGTCATCAGATTTGGCTATTTCACCTTTTATATCAGTAAGCGGTTACTGTGAAAAATTGTTCTCATTAAATTATAGCCTGCAACGTTTACTTTCCATTTTAACATGCTTGCCTGCATGTATGAGCATTACATGTCATGCAGATGAGATTTCCAAGAACTGACTAATACACTTCTGGCTGTTTGAAATTTATTTGCTGTGATTTTTTATTTATTCTTTTTATAACTCAAATCTGTCTCTGACTTCATCTACAATTTCCGTTAAGGTTGGCATTGGGATGTCAATGGAAGGTATAGAACAAAATCCAATTGTTTATGATCTCATGTCTGAGATGGCATTTCAACACAAAAAAGTCAATGTCGAGGTAATTTTTCTAGTTGATGGACAGAAAACTTGCTGGAATAGAGTGTAAAGGCATGCATTTTCCATTGGGCTAAACCAAATTCTAAACCAACCTTTTCTTCTTTACTAAAATACATCTTTCAGGCATGGATTGAACTGTATATAGCAAGGCGTTATGGTCAATCATTTCCTTTAATAAGAGACGCATGGAGTATATTATACCACACAATCTACAATTGCACAGATGGTGCCTATGTAAGTCCTCAAACTTATTGAAATGTATTTTCCGCTCTGCTGTGCAATATCTTGTCAAGTTGTCCTGGCACGAAGGCATCCCATCAAGTTCCTCAAACATGCAAGGGTTTTATATTGTCATGTTTCTGTGTATAGCTTTATCAGGTTGACATGGCTTTCATGGTCCATCAGTTCCTTGTGCATGACTGACTTTAATTCTTTTTTTTTTCTTGAAATAAACTGACTTGAATGTTAATTGACTGATTCGAGGCTATAATCACAATAAAAAATAACCCCTAATCTTAATCTTTATACAGTTGATAATTTCTATCATTTGAACAGGACAAGAATAGGGATGTTATCGTAGCATTTCCGGATGTCAGTCCATTCTTTATTTCATTACCGCTAGAGAGGTATCAACACTATGGTAAACCAACTTCAAGAAGAGCTGTACTAAGGGAGAAAACAAATGCATATGAACAACCTCATCTATGGTATTCAACTTCTGAGGTGATAAAGGCATTAGAACTTTTTATTGCAAGTGGGAATGAACTATCTGCAAGCAGCACCTACAGGTAGATTTTTTGGTTCCAAAACACCATGTGTTTTAGTAAATGCTTTGCCAATTGTGATGTATTGTAGAATTCTAGTATGTGCATTCATGGAAATCTACTTTCTGTGCCCAGCTATGACTTAGTTGACTTGAGTAGACAAGCTCTGGCTAAATATGCAAATGAGCTATTCTTAAAGATCATAGACGCCTATACATTAAAATATGTCGATAGAGTCACCTCTCTGAGTGAGAAGTTTTTAGAGCTTGTTGAAGATATGGACACTCTATTGGCCTGCCATGATGGGTTTCTTCTGGGACCTTGGCTAGAAAGTGCTAAACAACTTGCACAAAATGAAGAAGAAGAGAAACAGGTTAGAATCCCTTTAAAGGTTATTTTTATAAGCTATTCATATTGCTAGAAGATTGTGGATTGACGTGATCTCAAAAATACAGTTCGAGTGGAATGCAAGAACTCAAATTACCATGTGGTTTGATAACACTGTAGAGGAAGCAAGTTTACTTCGTGATTATGGTATTTTTACACCTCACTGCCTACTCTTGCTCTTATCTTTCTTAAAGAGTTTCATGGTTGTGGAACCATGTTACTTGGACTTTTTTCCCCAAAGATATTCATGTCCAACTATTGTTTGCTCATCTTATCCGTGTCGAACAGATCTGTATTCGATACATATCCCGAGTAGGGATATCATAAATGGTGTATATACCTTGGACTTAAGTTCTATGTTAGATCCTCCAAGTTAACCGTCACATTTCTACTAAACAAGTTCCTTTTGTAATCATAACTATTCTTATAAAGAGATACTAAGAATTAAGGCTTGAAGTCAAGTTTCTGTAAATTCTCTTATATTCTTCTATTTTTTATATTAGTGATATTCTCTTCTTTTGCTCATTATACTGTTTATTTTATCGTGCGATCACTATACATGTAGTCATCTTTTAATGAATTCCCATTTCTATGCTTTTTATTGCGATGGTGTAGGAAACAAGTATTGGAGTGGACTTGTACGAGATTATTATGGCCCCCGAGCAGCAATTTATTTCAAACTTTTGATAGAAAGTCTAGAAAAGGGCGAGGAGTTCAAGATGCAGAAATGGAGGAGGGAATGGATAAAACTAACAAACGATTGGCAGAGCAGTCGGAAGTTGTTTCCGGTGAAAAGCAACGGGAATGCCATTAGCATGTCGAGGTTGCTATACAACAAGTATTTAAGGTCAGAGTCTTGATCTGGATTCAAAGAGTCAAGATGTTTGAATCAACATTTTGAGATGAATAGCTGAATTCAAAGTTATCAACGTGTCAAACTTTCGAGATTATAATCAGAGATGGACCAAGGGATATCGGAGTACGGTCGCATATCTTGAAAATTTCAATTCCCATGGTATTTTCTAATTTTGTCTTGGATTCACAAAGACATTTGCTTAACATAATGATTAAGAAACTTTAAAAGGTGATTTATCTAAGACCTATATCTGATATCGTACATTTGATCATGTCAATGAGATTCATATAGTAAAGTTACAAAAAGAATGCTATCTAGCTAGGTCCACATGATCATGAATCGTTTGAAACATGTGAATGCTGCCGTCTCACTCACAAGACGATTAAGACTCACTTTACTGGAAAAGATGGAATGACTAAAGATTTATTAGGCTTAATACATGCATTAGCTTTTATCGACAATCATTCTAAATATACCTTAATGAAGTAAAAGTATGAAGCTCTTGAAAAGTTTGAGAGATTTCAGGGTCGAAGTAGGAAAGTAAATTGGTGAGAGTATTATTATATTTGGGTCAGATTAAGAAAGAATATTTTTATCGAGAAATTTCCATCCTGTGAAGAAAAATAATAAACTCTATGTAACACCCTAATTTAGGAGCTAAATTTTTAGAAATTATAAAGTAGGGAGTTTAAAGTGGTATTTTGGAAGAAATTGGGGATTAAAGTGTAAAATCGCAAAGTTAAGATACCATTTTATAAAGTGCAGGAAATTCAATGACTAAACTCATAATTTACCTTTTTTTTTTGGAGAGAATTATAAATCTCTCATTCGTATGTTTATGCATATTTTTTCCTCATTTTCCTTTTACTGGTCAACTACTTTGAGCTTTGATCTATTCACCGTCCGGCCACCGTTCGATGATCCAAAACCACCATTGTGTTCGTTGTCGACCAAAGAACAAAACCCTTCAAAGTGCTTGTCGTGAATCGACGTCGTTCGTCATCAATTTCAATCGGAAGTATTGTCGGTTTTAACTCAATCTCCGTTGGTTTTCCATCGATCCAAGTGGATCCGACCACCCATTTTCGACACCTCCCACACCATCGTGTTCCTTGAATCGTTCTAAGTCCACCGGTGTCCGTCGCATCTCTGTCATCGTCGACACGTGGAGGGGTGAGAAAGTCAAAGTTTCCGACGTTTCGGAATCGAGCTCTCCACCGTTCAAAATTTTGAACTGAGCTTGGTGTCTTAAAATCGCTTAAAATATTTTTAGAAATTTTTCGGACACCGTATCACTGTTCACGCACCGCCCCTGCGCGTGGGGGAGCTTCGGAAACTGTTGGGGCAGTTTGACCCGTTGACCCGACCCGTTTGACCCGGTTTGACCCAACCCGTTCAGCGTTGACTTTTACCAAAAAGTCAAAATTTTCAAAAAAATAATATTTTATGTTTTTCAACGTCCTAAGCTCGATTCCGAAGTCCGTTTTTCCAAATTCGATCCCGAAAGCCTCGAAGTTGTTAGTCAAACCCATTGACTTTGGCTTTGACTGACCAAAAAGTCAAAAATTTTGAAAAGTCATATTATATGTTTTTCGACGTCCTGAATCTGAATCCGAAGTCCGTTTCGTCAAATTCGAACCCGATAAACTGTTTTTGACTAATTAATCACTCGATTCGATTCGTTTTTTGCAATTAAGCTCTGTTTTTAATGAAATTTCGGTTGATATGTATCCAAGGAATTATTAGAAGTTGATTTCAAGATCGAGGGCGTTCGAATGGAATTTATATGGTCGATCAGTATGGTACGAAAATCGAGGTAATACATTACTACCTTTTCATGCTTTATAAAACATATTGGTATTGATAAATGCATGAATGAAAATGTTTGGTTTTATCTGAATAATTAATTAATTTTTACACTCGATACGAATGAGGTAGAAAATAGGTAACTGAATAAGGCTCAGATGACTATTATAAGAAATTGGAGGACAGTTGGAATTAAATTACAAGTTCTGGGATTAAGTGATAAAGAAATCAGCCATGGATATGTAGATTATAATTTATCTCATTAAAGGTACTAGGATGATAAATTATGAGAATACTTCGATTAGGTAAAATTATGAAAATACCCTTATGTTGTAATAAGGACAAGAATTGACTCTATAAGTTTGATAAGAAATTTTAAAGACATATTGATATGATGAAACTAATGATGTGTACAGAAAATACTGGTTTTGCTTAGGAAATCTGGATAACCGATTTCTAAATCCAAGATAGTTTGTACAAGATACTAGAAGTTTTGTTAAGGAATAATTCAAAGTATAGAGATTATCCGGGAAAGCGATTAAACCCATAATCTCTAAATTATAATTATCCTTGTTAAGAGTTTTAATACTGAAATTATCTTGTTAGGGAATTACAAAAATACCCTTGAAAGGTAAAAATAGTCCGAGTTAACCATGAACGAGAAAGTACTTTGAGGATTCGTACTTAACCGATAAATTACATATTTCATTATTAAGATCCTGCCTTTATAGAAAATTCTTGGTAACCTGTTGTAACATCTGAGAAGGCACTTGACTCGAAAATCTCTGAGTTATGAATAATAATTTATCGAGGGTGATATTTTGTCATAATAGCTCGAAGGGACTGACATAATGATAAGTTTAATTTTAATAATAAGATCGGACGGAATGAATTATTGTAATACATTGGATCTGTAAAATGACCAAAATATCCCTGGAATGGAAATGACCAAGAATATCACCAAATTCAAGAATGATTGGATATCCTCGAGCTCTGAAATTAATGGAACAAAACTGAGCACCAAATGACTAAAATACCCTTAGGTGGCGTTTGGTTGGATGGAATCTCTTAGAATTAGTGGGAATTGGAATCCAATTCCACCACTTTCCCATGTTTGGTTCAAGATTTTCAAGGGAATTGGAATCCCTGATAGAATTTAATTCCATCAAATGAGGGAAAGTGAATTCCATCCAAAAATGGATGGAATTCAATTCCCTTGTTGGAGGGAATTGAAATTTGACCATACAACCTCATCAATCCTTTGGTAACTTATTCATATATTGAATAAAAATATTTTTTATTTCATTTCGGGTCGGGTTTCTAAGTCATATATTCGGGTCGGGTCGGGTCGGGTGAAACTTTATTTTGGTCGGGCCGGGTCGGGTTTTTTTAAGTGTGATATTCGGGTCGGGTCGGGTTCGTGTTTAGGGTGAAAAAAACCGGACCGGCTCGAAAATATATATAATTCAGGTCAGGTCGGATTAAGTCACTGTTTTTATTAAATAAAAATAGTTTTTTATTATTTCGGGTCGGGTCGGGTCGAATTTCTAATTCATATATTCGGGTCAGGTCGGATGAAAATTTATTTTGTTCGGGTCGGGTCGGGTTTTTTAAGTGTGATATTCAGGTCGAGTCGGGTCGGGTTTTTTTAAGTGTGATATTCGGGTCAGGTCGGGTCGGGTTCGGGTTTAGGGTGAATAAAAATATTTTTTTAATTGAATAATTACAATAATACCCCTCTATATATAATTTTTTTCAATTAAGTCAATGTTTTTATTGAATAAAAGTATTTTTTTATTATTTTGAGTCGTGTCGGGTCGAGTTTCTAATTCATATATTGAATAAAAATAGTTTTTGGTATATTTTTTGGCAACTAATTAACATACTCCGATTGGAATGTATCAAAATAATGTTCTATCTTTTGGTAACTTATTAACATATTTTGATTGCGATGATTTTAACTTATAATGTTTATTAGCATGATTTTTATAATTTATTGAAATGAATAATCAATCAATAAAAATGAAAATTTAACATTTTTTAATTTTTTATAATATATTACTACATGTAAGTTGTAAAATAAACTAAAATAAAGCAAAAAAACAAGAAGGGCAATTCTGTCATTTTACATTACTGAAATCAAATTCATCTGACATGTCTGCGAACCAAACAGAATATGGAATTGGATTCCAATTCCATTTCATGCCAACCAAACAGAATATGGAATTGGATTCCAATTCCTACAGATTCTAATTCCTTCACAGATTCCAATTCCCTCATAAACATTCCAGCGAACCAAACGCCACCTTATGACCTAGACTAAGTAGATGTTTTGGATTAATTAAGGAATCCAAGTAAATATGGGTGTTATACTACCCTTAAAATTTATGGAACACAAATTAACTGAGTCGATCAACCGTAATGATATGTCAGTACCTGAACGCCATAGATATTACTTGAATGTGTGTTTGTCTTCTCAAGTTTGGCTCAATGATAATTTTGGAAGTATTCAACTCAGCTCAACTCTAGATCGCATTCAGTACTAAGAATTTGATATTTGTTCGACAAATCAACCACGAATACCGAACTAAACTGAACATAAGTACAATATGTATCCAAAATTCAGAAAACAATCGAATTACTATGGAAAACTCTGAAAATAAGTAATCTCAATGACTGAGGATTAAATAAGTGATTTAGATGAGTTTGAAAACGTTAATGAACATACATGATGTAATGTTCTTATTGGTCATGAACTACAAATCAAACATGTCAGCATTTCATGATATCGTGGAAGCGTGGAAATGAAATAAAGAGCATTAGAATATCTGTTAGTTCCCTTAAGATCTATTCAGTGATGATTTCGAATATGATCTATTCAGTGATGATTTCGATAAATCACATTCTGAATAACAGATGATTCCGTCAGCTAATAAACTCTTCCAACATTGATTCTAACTTCCGACATTCTATCGATAAACTGAAGATCTGTGTTTCTCTGCCCGATAAGATTATCCAATATCTCTGAATAATATCTGTAAACACTGGTGTCTTCCCTAATTACATGAATGTTTTATCTGATTTTCGATTTGAATTTGTTCTGATATCTGATCTGAATTCTGTTTTGATTTCTGATATCTCCGTTTACTAACGGAAAAATGTTTTAATTAGGGGTATTGTTGAAGGAAGTATTTCTGCAGGTTCCTCGGCTTTGTGCTCAGGGCCTTACAGGTTGCGTGGGTTGGGTGTATGGTTCTGGGGAACCTACACAAACAGATTTTGAAAGGATGGGGGTAGTTTTATGTTTTTAAAAATATATTTTTAAAGATCTGTATCTTTTTA